AGAGGTGCCAGGTTTCAAATCTTTTGACCTGATATTAGGTGGTAGGGTACACCAGATGTACCCACGTAGAAGTGCCAGTGGTGGCTCCCTGGAGCAAGAGTGTGGTGTTGATGCTGTTGCCTCTATGGAAATGCTCTCTTTGAGGGTAAGATGGGCAACACGAAACAAGCCTGACATACATCCCATGAGCACAGCACATAGTTGCACACAATGGTGAGGTTAGGTAATTTAGGCTGTGACCATTATGTTCCGCCTCACCCACACTTAGATGATAATCCAGGGGAGGGGGACAGTTGGCTAACCAAATATTCCTGGACTGCTGTTCCCATCATCCCTGGTTAGCAAATCCAGTAATGAAGAATGATAGGCATTCTAGCCCAACCATGTCTAGAGGGGCATACGCTGCATGTTAGGTGAAAATATATCTCATTTCATTTATTCCAAACTCCGGGACACCAGTCCTTATGATCATTCTGCTGAGTGTGACCTCAACCTCAAAGTCCTTCTCTGATGGTTATGCACTACTAGTTGCTCATGTGAAAAATCAATAGATCAGGGCACAATCTAGCATGGTTTGTACAAATAAAAGTCAAGGTAGGAAGATGGTCACAAAACTAGACGGCATCCCGGATGACTGCCCAAAACTTTCCCCATGTAAATAAAACATACAACCAATGACAATTACACTCTCTATGGCACTGTGTGGGCCCTGCAAGCCCTTCATGGGCAGGGAGGCATTGAAGGGGCCACCCATGTGGGACATATAAACATGCCACTCAGTTCAACAACAGCTATAAGTCTTTTACTGAGGAGTTTAAACTCCAGTCTCACAGGTATGCTTCGGAGTGGCTGTGGTCACCTTCCTGGGACAGAGCCTTTCTCCAGTCCACAGTCCTTTGCTCCTGATCACGCCCCCAGTTGGTTCCTGTCACTCTCATGTGAGTACTCAACAGTCACTGTCCTCTACAGGTGGTGGATGCTGGGTGTGGCCCTCACTATGTACTCAGTTGTTCCAATCTCTAGAACTGTCATTTGCATGGCCAGCAGCAAAGCGGGATGGAATCAATATATGGTTCTTCTTGGAGTGCCACATGACGACAGACACCCCCAATGCAGCCTCGTCCTGGCTCAGGACTGAAGGTGGGCTGACACAGAAACAGAGCATCATAGAATAATGGGGTTGAAAGAGGCTATCGAGTCCAACCCCCACTCGATGCAGGAATACAAACCAAAGGATATCTGCCAGGTGGTTGTCTCAGTTTCTCTTGAATGCCTCCAGTGATACCAAGGGTTAGAGAGCCATATGTAGATCTTGCTGCACTCTTTGTCTTCCTCCTTATTTCTAGATAAGCCTGACTCCTCCCTTATATCTCTTCCTGCCCTTCTGCCCTCCTCGAATCTTCTCCCATATTCCCCATGATTGACCCTGCCTCTTTTACCCTTTTCATCATGAGCTCCAGAGCTGTTCATTCAGGGCCACATTCCTGTCCATCTGAAGACATGGACAGCAGACGTCTGCTTCTGAATCTGAGGCGTGGCCCTTCCAGAGGTACAGGCCCATTAAGTCAGGCTGTGCTGCTCTCCCTGACGTCACCATTTCCTCAGACCTTTCTTCTTATTTGCTTGCAGTGGGAGGGGAAAGGTGTGGCAGCCTGGGACTCAATGGCATCAGGCACCCACTCCCAGGAATACGTAAACTCAATATTCTCTGTGCGTTAGAGAGTTACTAGAAGATACAGACCACAAAATAATTTGAGCATGAACAAAACTGCTCAAAATATAACTGGGACATCCTTCAGCACAGAAAGAGCCTTACATTTATCACTGTAAATGAACTCAGCCATCTCGGATATTCATCAGCCTTTCTGAAAGCATGTAGGACTTCTAGATCTGATCTGGATTTGATGGAAACTGTTCTATATTAACAAACAATTGAGTAAAGCATACCACTTAGGGTAGTGCGGCAAAGGTCAAGGTGAAACTGGCAGGTGTAGCACAGAGACACCGTGCTTTTCTTCCCCCTGGGTGGACCAGAGAAAAAACTTCCCCTCTCAAACTGGCCAGGAAACTGTCCCACCTCCAGGTGCTCCCCAAATGGGTCTGGGAGCAGCAAATGGTGGAATGGTCCATGTGGGGACCCTGGAAGATAAACAACAGCTTGCCAAGATTGTAGCCATCTTGCCTCTCATCCTTGCTCACAACTGATTGCAAACTGTGCCCAGGCTAACTCCCAGACCCAAGTCCACACACTTGCCAAGAAACTGGTACATTGTGCTTGTCAAACACCTGTTGCAGCAAAGATTATCCACATGAGCATAAGAGAGGTGCATACCCCAAGTTCTAGGTCATAAAGGTAAAGGTAAAGGTTCCCCTTGACCATTTTTGTCCAGTCGTGTTCGACTCTAGGGGGCGGTGCTCATCCCCGTTTCCAAGCCATAGAGCCAGCGTTTTTGTCCGAAAACAATCTTCCGTGGTCACATGGCCAGTGCGACTTAGACACGGTACGCTGTTACCTTCCCACTGAGGTGGTCCCGATTTATCTACTTGCATTTGCATGCTTTCGAACCTCTAGGTTGGCGCTAGGTCATAGCTCCATGCTAATGTAATGTACATACATGATTGCTATAAAGTAGAGGTAGAACAAGTTTGGCCCTCCAGTTCTAAACCCCAGAAATCCTTCCTGTTGGCTCTGCTGGCCAGGGCTTTTAAGAACTGAAGACCAAAACATGTGGAGGGTCAAAGGGTCCGCATTGTCTCCTTGGAAGAAAGGTACCGCTAAGTATGCTGGTAGCATATCTCTCTCAGCACCAGAGGCAGATATGTGTAATGAGAGTTCATATTTACAGGAAGCATATTTTAGTTTGGCTGCACCTTCTATACCATAGTACCAAGGTAGCAACAGGCACAAGGTACCAACATCACGAAGTTGCTAAAACCACATTGGCTGAAAGTGTATAGAATATTGGCACTAACCTGTGATGCAGATCCTCTGGAACATAACATTGGCCTACAGCCATCAAGCAACCATCTATAATGTGGCTCTCAAAGGTAGCCTATACGCTGGCACGAAAGGCGTATTTTCAAAGTGAGAAATTGGCTGAGACACATAGTGTATGATTTAGCATTGCCCAAGAGTACCTTATCAGTAAAACCATCCATCAGTGCTTGCCATTGCCACCAGTGGCCCCTAGGTTCAGGGATAAAGCCAGTGAAGCACATACTGGATGTAGCCCGGAAATTGCAAGATCACTTCAGGCACTACACAGAGGGGGGAACTCTTTACTGTCTAACCTTATTCTTTACTGGTACCAAAAAAGCACAGCAGCCATCTTTCCATTCCTCATCATCTTGCACTGGTGGGAACAAAAGGATTCTCACAGGCCACCAACACATGTGATACGGGCAGCATAGAAACCCTGCATCCAGGAAAATCTCTGTATTCTCAGAAGGGTGCAAGTCCTTCTGGGTATACCAAGGACCTCCTGCTACTTTCAGAAAGAGTAGGAGAGGATAACGTTATCCGTCAGAAGCTGTTTGTCAAATAGGAGTGGTGGACGGGATTTGATGGGCTCTGCTGCTCCATGAGGAAAAAAAAGGCCCCTCCGGGCAGCCATCCATGAGCCCACCCACCCCCACCCACTCCGTAAAGCAGCTCTTTGGATCTCAGCCAGCACATGCCTTTCATAGCAGACGGACCCCAAGGTAGAACAGAATCTCAAAGCTGGTGAGGAGCCCCGTCCCCTCCCCTGCCTCCCACTCTTTGACTATCCGTCTTACCCAAACACCTCAGTGTCTTCTCCCATTAGCCTTTCTTGAAAAGAGCTCACCATTCTCTGTGGGTTTGGTTAGCCCTTCCTATCCTAACCAGGGTGGCTAGGATTTCAGTTATTTGTGGGTTTTTTCCTTTCTTCTTCCCCCTCCTCTATGCAAAAAAATGCAGTACATTCCTTTATGCAGGTTTCCATAGAGTTAAACTGTTCCTATTTCTCCCCCCCCCCTTAAAGAGGTCAGCAAAAAGTCGTACAATGGGGGTCTCATGTTCGTGAACTGTGAAGGAATTTTTAAAAATTTCCCATGGTGGGGTTAGAGTTCAACAAAAGAGAAACTTGGGGGGAAAAGATAAATAAAACAAATGGGGACTCTTTTTTTTTTTTTGAGGGGAGGGGGATTTTCATTTATAAAGACTTACTGCCTTTCAGATCCTGAACTCAAACAATGTTATTCTGCCTCCTCTCACTTCACATTTCTCTCCTTTAAAATAAAATAAAAAAAATTAAAAAGTTATATCTCAGCTTTCACAGCTTCTATCCTAGTAAGCTGCTCCTTTTAAACAAATGATTGTATATGTTTCCCTGGCATAGGGAAATCCCTCAGACTGTAGGTTCATGTTATTTAGACAAGCGCTCTTTCAGAAGAAAATGCATTCTTAGCATAGGGAAGTACTTTAGGTCTAAAGGGGTTAAGAAGGCCTCCTTCCATTCAGAAACATGCAGGGGTCCCACCGTGGCAGTTCCAGCCTTTAAAACTCTTTCCAGCTCTTTTTTTTCTCCCTTGTAACAAATCTGTACAACTGCTGCCACCGGGACATAAGAAGCGTGTGCCTGTCACAGAAATAGAGTTTACTTTTTCCAACTTGTTGTAGACGGGCAGGGTATAAATACAGCTAAGTCTGGCTTGGACGGAGAGCCTTTTGCTTAAAATAAGGGGGCTACTTCCTAAGACTTTTAATCCTGACCCAAGATCAGGCAGCACCGTTGACCAAGGTGGAAAAGACGTCTGGGTGAGCAAGAGAAAGCAGGTGTCGATGCTGCCTTTGTTTCAACTTCTTTTCTTCTTTTTTTAAAAATTCAGACTCTGAAGAAACACACACACACACACACACACACACACACAGACACACACACACACACCCTCCTTCTGCATCCAATTGTTGACATACTTTCCCTACCCCCCCACCCCAACTCTGGAGCTATTCTGAGATGTTCTTTTCCAGACTCTTCACACAATGGATATGGATATGGATGCTAACTGGGAAGACCTTTATTCTCCTGCTTCTGGAAGTCCCCTTAAAAGGTACTGCCTTGCCTCCAATACGATACTCTCATGCTGGGATTTGTCCCAATGATATGAATCCCAACCTCTGGGTAGATGCGCAGAGCACCTGCAGGAGAGAGTGTGACACTGACCTGGTGAGTTTATTTCTTTTATTTCCTCTTCGCATTGTCTTCTTTGGCCTCTCTATGCCGATAGGATTGTCTGGGTCTGTTTTGTGTTTTATGTAATGAGGGCTGAAGGGGGATATTTTTGCAGGTCAGGATTGGGTACTCTGTGGCTCTCCAGCTGTGAATGAACGCCTACGCTCCCCCGTCATTGGCTGGGCCAGATTGGAGTGGATGGGAATCCAGCATCTGGAGGGCCAGAGGTTTTCCAGCCCTCCTGGAAGGGGAGGCGGTGGGCACTTTGCATCCAAACATCACTGGATGGTAACGGGAGAAGGCGAGCTTTTAAAACTGAGTCCAGATCTTGTTGCCAGGGTGGAGTGAGGAAGGCACCATTCTCATACAAGGCAAATGCTGAGTGATGGCTGTAGGCAGAAAACCATCTCTCAACTTGTCTAGCCAGCGGGGAAATCACACGGCAAACATTCCCTGCACATTTTGACCATTGCAGCATGAATGATTGGGTGTCAATAGCCAAGGCAGACTGTAGTGCTGAGTTTAACACGACTATCTTGTCACAGGACTTCTCCCACCCTTCCCCATCTACCCCAACACATTGATCATCCACTGTGGAGCGGCAATGCTAGTTGTACCCTTTCCCTCAATAGTTACTTTTCAAGAACGCTTCTTCTTCTGCCCTCCTGCCCCAAAAATTCCATGGAAGCCCACCTTGCCATGTTGTGCCTCCTCCAGAGGAGCACGTCCCTTTCCTGAGGCAGTGGTGTAAATTGTTCCCTCCTTAGGAACATGGCATGGCCCAGCCTTGCCAGCACCTAATTTAAAATCCAGCAGCCATGTAAGAAATGGCACAGTAAAAATGACAGCTTGCCGTGAACTCTCAGATGATTCTTCCCAATCCAAATGTATTCGAACTGCTGCTCACCCACTGGCCGGGGCTGCTGGCTCACTTCGGCATCCCAGTGCTCCTCTGAGCTATTTCTGCCTCGCCTACCTGCCCAGAATAATAGAGCTGGCTGTCATCTCTACTGAGTTGCCTGTCATCATGAAATACTGCTCTGAAAAGAACCCTTGTCACAGGATGCGGTGCATCCTTTACAAGACAACTGAGAGAACCGAAAGCTTTCATTGCGGTCAAATGACTATTGAAACAGCGCAGTGAGCATCCATGACCTAGCCCCAAACCAGCACTGTACTAGATTCTGGGATATTTCCATGTGTGGGTGACCATTTTTGAAAAAAAACAATGACTCAGCAGCCATCTGTGTTTAAGTAGGATACATACCATGGCTTATTTTCCTCCCAGAACTTTTGAGGCCTCTATTATCAAATGGATCGATTCACATCCAGGGCACTGATGTGGAAGAAACTCATTGTAGAAACTCCTAAATCAGAGGATGCTGGAGTCTTGTAGGTGCTGATGATCTGGTAGTTCACACCTCACTATTTTGTGTGCTGGGGGGTGGCAAAATGTTGTTTGTGTAATTACATTGTAAACACCCTAAAAAGTGTTTGGGGCTGTATATAAGTTGAAACTACCACCACCACCACCATTGTCCAGGCTGGCTAGGGATGATGGGAATTAGAGTCTTTTACCACATGGAAAGCCACAGGTTCCACATCCCTATCCTCAATTATTGGAAACTTTAATAAATCAAATGTCGTCCTTCTAGTACTATTGATACTTCCAGAATGTCCTGTTACAAAGGACCATTCTAGTGATAGCAATATCATCTAACGCCACTTTGAAAAAGGGGAACTGGAGAGAACACATAATTGAGAACATATGATGACTTGGGAAGTGTAACATAAACATCACTGCTGGATAAATTATGCCATTTATGAAACCAAGCAGTAGCTTTCTTTTATTCTTCCAAATTAAAGCAGCAGAACAAGCTCCCTTTTGAATTCATTTTCAGGATAGCAAGAAGTCCAGGGTAAATCATTCAAGAGCATCTCCCATGCTCCATCTACACCAATGATGAAGGAGGGCCCAGCCCTGAGTGATACAACAGTCGCAAAATAATGTAGTACAGCCTTTGCTGGTAGCAAAGGTCCATCAGCTATCACTGCCAGTGGGGACATACACGAACAAAATAAATGTTAATTATTCTTTTTCTTAGAAGACTTCCCCCCCCGCCAAGCAGCTTGTGTCATCAGTGGTTCCCCAGGCAGCTGTTGATCTTCAACTCAAATAATAACCTGTAGATCAGCTACAGAGTGCAGGAACTAGCTGATTTTACCTGAGGATAGAGTATAATATGAAACAGGGATGGGCAATCTATGGCCTTCCAGATGCTGCTTGACTATAACTCCATCAGCCCAAGCTGACATAGCCCAAGAGGAAGGATGGTGGAGCTGCAGCAGGACAAAATCTGGAGAGCAACATCTTTCTTATTGCTGATTGAGACATTTGGCAGACAGTCCACCAATTTGCAAATAGGTACATGAATCCAATGTACGCTTCTGCCCTATTGAATTCCATGGGGCTTAAACTTGCCCTGAGTTATATCTTTCATTCCAGATGCCTTGCCAAAACCAACGACATAATATAGCCTCTACAGACAAGCGTAGATGCTGGAAACTGCCTTGTACCAAATCACTGAACTGCTCCTTTGAGGTCGCGCTTGATGCCACTGACCAGGAGTGGCTTTCCAGGGTCTTTTCTAGTTGAGCATGAAGTAATTAGAATAGACTGTGGAAATGCATGACACTTCCTGCATACAAAACATGTGCAGAATGTGGACAAAAAGGGCTGGGGCCTTACGGTTTCCCAAGGGAGGGAGTTCCACTTCACCATAATGAAATCCCTGTCTCATCCCATGTACCCAAAAGCCTCATTTATGACAGCAGTGTAGGACATAGACCAACATCTCTTTTGATCATCTCAACGGGCAGGCAAGATTGAAAGGATTGCTTCAAATATCTTAGCTCAAACTATATGCAGGCTCAGATTGTTTAGGACTTTAAATACCACCTAGTGGGTTAGAAACAGGTGGGGAGCTAATTCAGATCAACCAATATATTATTGTTTTGTATTATATGCCATCTGTTTGTTTGTTTGTTTTTGTTTGTTTATTTGTTTGTATCCTGCTCATCTAATGACAAACCACCACTCTAGACTGCTAACAAGAAAAAAGAATACATAATCACCAATGTACCCACCCACTAACACCAAAATCATAAAAACGATGAGAAAAAGAAGCCCCCAAAGGCAAAAGCAAACAAAAGTCAAGTACGATCACATGGGACAACAAGAAAATCATAGGGGGAGGATGCTCTCCTTTAAAAGCTTGGATTTTATGTATTTCCTGAAGGTCAAGAGGGAGGGGGCCTGGCGTATATCTGCAGGCAACACTTTCCACAACATAATGGTCCCCACCAAAAAAGTCCAGTTCCTGGGGGCAGATTTCCAACCTCTCTTTGGGTGACCACCCGTAACTGGGAAGCCTGGGAAGCCTGAGTAGATGATCTTAGAGAAAGCCACTCTGACGAGTAGTGAGATCTCAAACCTTTAAGGGCTTTATAAGTTAACACTTTGAATTTGATAGGGAAGCAAACATGCAGATGTGCCAGAATCAGAGAGACATGGTCATATCTCCAACATTCCCGATATGAGCCTAGCTACTACATGTTGCACCTATTGCAGTTTCCATATCATCTTCAAAGGCAGCCCCGTGTAGAGAGCATAGCAATAACCAGTCCTAGAGATTACCAATACATGAACCAGTGTGGTCTGGAATTTTCTGTCAAGGAAGGGCTGCAGCCATGCCATCTTGGCCATGGTCAATATTTGCTTCTCCATTAAGAGTCCCAGGTTCAGAATTATGCCATGTCATCAGAATTCTACACCTTTTCTATTGGCCAAACATATTTCAAAGGCAGCCCTTGCAGATTATGTTAAGATACTGTGGACCTGCATGTGGGTGAACTGTGTGTGAAATTCATGAATCTGTAGTTTTCCATAAATGCATAAACTTATTTCTGGGTAGAGCTACATCCAGACCATCTAAGAGCAAAGATGGCTCCAGGGACACTCCCAGACTACAGAGGGACTCCCATAAGAATAGGCTGAATACTCATTCCTGAGCCACACACCCAACTCACCAGAGCTCCAAACAAGAGCCAAGGACTCAAACGACCATCAGTCCTGACAGATGTGGCCATTTATTTATTTGTCATTTATCTGGAGTTTAATCAATCAGCTTCTGGAAGACCAGATGCTCCCTACTCTGGCTGAAGGATTTTTATTGTTTTCCCTAGCATCTGATGAAATTAAGAAATGGACTAAGGTGTTTTGGTTATATTCTGTCAAGTCGCATCTGACTTACAGCAACCCTAGGAATTAGTGACCTGTGAAAGTTGCCATCATTGGCAGCCTTATTTTGGTCTTTCAATGTCAGAACCGTGGCTTCCGTTAATGAATGAATTCATCTCATATATGATCTTCCTCTCTTTTTTTGTTACCTCTAGCTTTCCTTTCCATTACTGTCCTCTCACAATAGTTTCAAATGACAATAGTGTGCTCGTTTTAACTTGTAGCGAGAGTTCAGGCTTCATTTGATTGAGTACCCACTTACTGGTTTCTCTAGTGGCCTATGGTATCCCTTAAATGTCCCCTCTGACATCACATTTCAAATGAGGTAGCAACCAGACAAATATATACTGTGCGGTTTGTGCTATGTTCTTCATTGTTCCTCTGAATATTTATGTCCTAATGACTACATGACCTCAGCACTAATTGTGAGCAGATCCAATGTTTTGATATGAGTAGGCAGTAAATTTTGTTCAGCCAACAGGACTTGCAATGTTTGGGATGGCATTTCTATATGAGTTCTCTTGGCTCAATTTTTGGCTTGTGTGACTGTGGAAGGGAAGGTGGTAGTGATAATGGCAGAAAAGGGCGAGAGGAAAAGGGGGACTTGTGTGATGTATGGTCACGTGAAGCACAATTTCCTGGGATAATTAAAATTTTCTGTGTGAACAAATATTTCATACAGAATTTATGTGCCAGGGTGCAGTACAGAGAAGTGCCAGAGATAAGGAAGTTTGCATAAATCTGAGACAACCTTCCATGGTGTCATGACTTAAATCAATGTTTCCCTTCACTGTCTGTCTTTCAAATTTACACATAGTAATTAGGAATATGATAGCACTAATTGCATTGGCCTTGGTCTCCAGGGACACATCCTTACACTTAAGGATCTTTTATAGTTCTTTCATCGCTGCCCTTCCGAACCTCATAGCTGCTCTTCTGATTTCGTGGTTGCAGTCTCCATTTTGATTGATGATTGAACCAAGGTATAGAAAACTTTTAACAATGTTCATTTTTTCCTCATTAACAATAAAGTTATACTGTATAGTTCTTCTGCAGTCATTATTCTTATCTTCTGAATGTTAAATTGTTAACTGCTTTTGCACTTCCATTCTTAAATGTCATCACTTGTTTCAAGTCATTGTGTTTTCTGCCAGTAGTATGGTGTCAGCGGCAAATCTTAAATCACTGATGTTTCTTACTCCTGTTTTTACTCTGCTTCTCTTCTGTATAGTTCTTCAGCTTATATTTTATCCAAGCCAGATAACATATTCCCCTGCTGAACTTTCAACATCTTTAATCAAGTAGCAAAATGTTTCAACCTAATAAGAAAGAAGTCCAGTTGCCATGACTCAGTTCCCAGATAACCTCACCTGGATGACTGAGAATCTTCACAGATAACTTTAATCTAGTGGTTGTTGTAGGTTTTTCGGGCTGTCTGGCTGTGTTCTTGAGGTTTTTCTTCCTAACGTTTCGCTAGTCTCTGGCCGGCATCTTCAGAGGACAGGAGTCAGAACTCTCTCTGTGCTCTGGTGCAGTTTGTGGGATACTTGATTATTTATAGCTGTGGGATCAGCTTTTTGTCCTTTTCAGGAGACTGAGTGATTATGGTTATCAGCATGTTTTTCGTTGTGGGTTTATTACAGTGATAAGCGAGATTGGGTGATTATGGTTATCAGCGTGTTTTTCGTTGTGGGTTTATTGCAGTGATAAGCGAGAGAGATGGTCTGTCACTGTGATTGATGGGTGTCGTTAGCTGGTCGTTTGTTACTCTCAGCAAAGGACAAAAGGGACCCCCTCACCACTGCAGGAGCATACTGGATACCTTGCAGTTGTGGCCAGGTATATATTGGAACCACAAAATGCAGCATCCACATCAGAATCGAAGAACATGAGGGACACTGCAGACTAAAACAACCGGAAGAATAGGCAGTAGCTGAACGTTCCCTGAAAAAAGCTGGACATGAAATCCTGCACTGCCCAAATTCAAACACTACCAGTGTATGCAGTATGGTACAATCACATTGCAGTTAGGTGCAACCACACCAAACAACAACCTTGTTTGAGGTCTACCAGTCATGTAGTAGCTCTTAAAGATCAGGAGCCTGGCAGGAAGAAGTGGTAACAACTCTAATTAAAGCCCCATAAATTTAGCTGAATATACAGGGATTCAAATCCAGACTTAAAATGCTATGTACTCAAAACTGTCTGTCTAAATGGGAAAATCTATCACTTTCACATTCTACTCCATATACTTATTTTTTTAAAAAATAATTGTACTTAAGTGATTGTTGGAAAGTTTTTATAAAAAGTCATACGAAACAAACCACTTGTGGAGCAGTCTGGTGTGATTTGTTTCCCAGCTATCACACAATATACCAGGAATTGCCCTCCATCCCGATCCATGTACAAAGGATTCTATGACACAATGGTTCAAAGATGTGAATTGTATGAGGAAGACCACATCAGAAGGATCAGTCCAGGTGACATGGTGAATAGTGGTTTCCCACTCCTGATGTCATGAAGCAGTTAGTTCTGAAATGTAAAGAATTAACTGGTTCATGAAGTCTCTGATGAGAAGATTTTCTTAGCTATCTATCACACATTTTTCTCACCCAGTTCTGAATTCAAATGACATATATGCAACTACTATAGAAATGAAAACAGCTCGTACAAAATTAGCTGCCAACCTCAGGCAAAACCTCAGATAGTTGTCCCACATCTCAGGAAAAATGGAATACATTATTTATTACCTATTGTTAGCTTTCCAAGAACCATTGAAAGAGAGAGAGAGAGAGAGAGAGAGAGTTAAAATGTTATGTTGCTTTCCAATAGGGAGGGAGTGCTTATAAGTCCACAGAGGACATGTCTGTTTATTCAGCAAGACTGATACAAGGTCCCCTTAAATCTGTGTGAGATAAATTACATGTATCTCCAGAAGGAATATAATTCCTGTTCTTGTGCAGGAGTTTCTCTTGAAAGAGAGGAAAACTGCTCTTTAGATTTAAAACAAGTAGACCTTCTCAATGTACCGTATCTATTTTGTACACAAAGAAGAAACTGTATGCAGATCAGCTCAGAAGTAACATCCATCAATTTCAATGAGACTTACTCTTCAGTAACCAGGGTGGAACTAACTTGAAGCAAATCAATCTAAATGACTGCAGGGTGCATAAAAATCAATACTTTAAAAATCCAATTTCAATTTTTAAAAATCTGATTTAAATACAGTAAATAAAATCCAATTTAAATTTTTTAATTCCATTTTTGGGGTTTTGTTTCAAAAAACATAGATGTTTATGCACCCTGCAGTGATTTAAATTGAGATTTAAATTGATTTGATTCACCCAGCCAGGAACAAAAAGGTTTTAGTTTTAGAGAAGTAATTTGACTCATCAGACCATCGCATGCATCAAAACGCTCAGCAGCCCAGGTTTATTGCTCTCTACCTTTTCTAAAATGCAATCACAGAAGTACTTTTCACCTTTAGAATAACAGTTCAACCCAAAGACAGAGAAACCGACAAGAATGCTAAGGAACTAACAAGTTGGGCAGCACGGCCTCTTTTGGCCTTTTATGGATACATGCCTCTGGATCAAACAGTACCATAGTGGTCAAGGTTTCTAGACAAGGAAGACATATCAAGAACTCTCAAGAACACAGTTCTGCCTTCCAGTGTTCAAAAACAAAAGTGGTCACAGTTATTACAACCTGACCAACATACAACTCCACAGCAAGCTTCCATTACACTGTAGTTACGAGCTAGAGCTTTACCGGCCACTGGCATGTCTGGCGTGGGATGTGTTAGGACCTTACCCAAAACTATAATGTGGGAATGTTTTCTGTTCTAGAGACTTCTTGGAAACGTTGATTTAATTTTGATTTCTTTTGTCTTAGGAATGTGAGACCTTTGAGAAGTGCTGTCCTAATGTCTGTGGAACTAGGAGCTGCGTTGCAGCCCGCTACATGGACATTAGGGGGAAGAAAGGGCCCGTTGGAATGCCTAAAGAGGCGACGTGTGACCGTTTCATGTGCATCCAGCAAGGCTCAGAGTGTGACATCTGGGACGGGCAGCCTGTTTGCAAATGCAAAGACAGATGTGAAAAAGAGCCAAGTTTCACGTGTGCATCAGATGGCCTCACCTATTACAACAAGTGCTATATGGATGCCGAAGCATGCACCAAAGGCATTACACTTAATGTGGTAACTTGCCGTTATCATCTCACATGGCCCAATACTAGCCCTATCCCGCCAGAGACGACAGCTCACCCCACAACTGCCTATTTAGAGACAACCATCACTGACATCCTTCCACCCGTGCTGGTCAACAACCCAGCCCACCAGTCTGTCTACGTAGGAGACACCGTTAGCTTTCTGTGTGATGTTGTTGGACGACCTAAGCCAGAAATCACCTGGGAGAAGGAGATGGAGGATAATGAGAAAATAATTATGAGACCCAATCATGTCCGAGGGAACATTGTCGTCACTAACATTGCCCAGCTGGTTATCTATAACACACAAGTGCAAGATGCAGGTATCTATACTTGCATTGCCAAAAATCTGGGTGGTCTTCTCAGGGCAGACTTCCCATTGTCAGTCCTCAAAGGAGAAGCCACGTCGATGGAGGCAGCCCAGAACAAAAGCCACTTCCCAACTGATGAGTGCCTGAAGCAGCCGGACAGTGAAGACTGTGGAGAGGAACAGACCCGGTGGTATTACGACGCCAAGAAAAACAACTGCTTTACTTTCATCTACGGAAACTGTAACAGTAACCTGAACCACTTCGAGACCTATGAGAACTGCATGTTGACGTGCATGAATGGGCCCATCAACGTCTGCAACCTGCCGGCTCTCCAAGGTCACTGCAAAGCCTACGAGCCCCGGTGGGCATACAACAGCTTGACCAAACAATGCCAGTCTTTCATTTACGGAGGCTGCGGAGGCAATGAGAATAACTTTGAGAGCCGAGAGGCCTGCGAGGAAATGTGCCCCTTCCCGAGGAATGTGCACTGCAAAACCTGCAAAGCCTGCAAGCCGCGCCAAAAGCTGGTGACCAGCTTCTGCAAAAGCGATTTCGTTATACTCGGCCGTGTGACGGAACTGACGGAGGACCAAGATTCGGGACACGCACTGGTGACCGTGGAGGAGATTCTCAAGGATGAGAAAATGGGGCTCAGGTTCTTGGGCAGAGAACCCCTCGAAATTACGCTTCTGAACATGAACTGGAGTTGCCCCTGCCCCAACATAACTGCAGCTGATGGTCAGCTGATCATCATGGGCGATGTCCACAATGGCATGGCTGTCCTACAACCAGACAGCTTTGTTGGGGCCTCCAGCATTCGGCGTGTTCGGAAGCTGCGGGAGGTCGTCCACAAGAAAACCTGCGAGCTATTAAAAGAGTTCTTAGGACTGCATTAGTATATCCTGCTTGTATCTCGTCAGCTTCACAGATTTGTATATTATATTGTGCTGATGAAAGGTAGGCTAGCCTGGAAACCCTTCTTCTGAACATCTCTGTTTACCAATAGATGTTGTGTATTACACAGAAGCCATATATTAACTCATTAATGATGTGTAGTAATGATGCAGAAGCCTGTTTGGCAAGCACTTAAAATAGCAGCAAACAGCTATTAGTCTTTAGATTTCAATCTCTCTATTTGTTTAGAAATGCCATCTGGTAATCATAACACAATACCAATCCAGCTTTCTTCTTAAAAAACCAAATTCATAGCATTCTGTTTGGTTCCAAGCTAAATCATACACACTGTTGCCCTAATGATAATTGCTTTCGCTGGAAGCATCGAGACGCTTCTGGAAAGCAGCTGAAATGTAATTCGTAAGTAGATTGTAAGAGAAGAATACGTAAATTATGGCCTATATTCACAATAATTATACCAGATAAACCACTCCATTGCAGAAACTGCTGCAATCAGAAAAGCAGCTTTTCAGGAGATGAATCTTATCTTTAACCAAAATTTGTCTAGCATATTATTATGAATTCTGATTCAAATTCACACTGAAGTCAAATTCTGAGGAGTCCTCAGAGCGTTCTGTCAGGCAAGGAGCACTGGAGTCAAATCAAATACTACCTATCTCACTAAACTGTCCTGCTCACAGACTGTTCTAAATCTAATATTTGAAGTCACTTTATTTCAGATGACAATAATGTGTCTTCCACTTTGTATCTCAAAGGCCAACACAAATATTCTGCTAAATTAAAATAAACACCAACAAAATATGTCCTGAACAGCAAAAATTTGTGCAAATCTTACAGAGGCTACCACATTTTCTAAGAACAGGTTTGAACAAGAAAATGGGCCCCTGAGGGCACCGGTCAAAGGCGGGATAAAGTGCTTGCGAGCGAATTGTAGTGTGCTTCCACATATAGGCCATTATCAAAGAATTGCCATATTTTGTTAGCTTGTATTTAGGGGGGGGCATCAGCACAACATCATTATCAAGCTCTTTTCATGCTTTCCTTGTTCATTTCATTTCCCAAAATCCAGCTTTAAGGGTCTCGTAGGCCACCTAGTCCAACCCCTATTAAATACAGGCCAGTTTGATGAGCAATGAAGACAGAGCATTCTTCGTGTTTGTTCAGAAAGCAGTAGGACAATATTACCGTCTGTGTGTTCTGTGCCATCAAGTCAGAACCGACTTACAGTGACCCTAATAGGGCTTTCAGTGTACGAAGGATATTTAAGGAGTGGTTTTACCAGTTCCACTTTCCCAAGAGAGTTTGCCTGGTCAAGTGGGGATTCTAATCCTATTCTCTAGAGTCCTGGTCTGTCATTGTATCCACTACACCAGTGGTTCTTAACCTTTGTTACTCGGATGCTTTTGAGCTGCAACTACCAGAAACCCCAGTCAGGACAGCTGGTGGTGAAGGCTTCTGGGAGTTGCAGTCCAAAACTCCTGAGTAACCCAAGGTTAAGAACCAGTGCACTACACCACACTGGGGATCCCATATAGCTCACATGTAACCAACTGTCTGACAAAAGAGGAGTTCTGTCAAATGCTTTGCTGCAACCAAGATAGATTGTATCCATCCCATTGAGAAGCAAGTTATCCTAATTCTTACCAGTACTCCCAAATATTATGTGTATATGTGTTGTCAAGTCAAAAATTATTTAAAACAACAATAATAGAGCTTTCACAGTAAATGAGATATTTAAGGAGTGGTATGTTCCTCCAAGTAAGTTTCCATGACCAACTGAGAATTCAAACCCAGGTCTTCTGGAGTCCTAGTCTCTTACTCGATCCAATACACCACATTATTTTCCCCACCATACTACAGTGGATATAAAAAGTTTACACACCCCTGTTAAAATGTCAAGTGTCTGTGATGTAAAAAAAATGTGACAAAGATAAATCATTTCAGAGCTTTTTCCACTTTTGATGAGACCTATGAACTGTACAACTCAGTTGAACAACAAGCTGAAATCTTTTAGGTGGAGGGAAGTAAAAAAGGCTTTCTTCTCCAACAGAACCATCACCAAAGCATTCATCACAAATCACACAGGCACAAACTGCGGCCTGACATAGATGAGTGTGGACGTTTTTGTGCAGGCTTCCATGTTGCTTTACTACATTTCAGTCATTCTTGTAGTAAACAGTTGAAAAAAAAAACAGTTATAAAATTATGCAGGGGATGGATAAAGTGGATAGAAGGAAGCTCTTTTCCCTCTCACGCAGTACCAGAACCCGGAGACATCCACTCAGATTGAGCGCTGGGAGAGTGAGAACAGACCAAAGAAAATATTTCTTGTTGTTAGTCTGTGGAACTCCGTGTCACAGGAGGTGGTAATGGCATCTGACCTAGATGCCTTTAAAAGGGAATTGGACAGATTCCTGGAGGAAAAGTCCATCGCAGGTTACAAGCCATGATGGGGATGTATCATCTCCAGGCTTAAAAGGAAGGGACCTCCAAATGCCAGATGCAGGGGAAGATGTATCAGGAGACAGGTCTCTAGTTGTCTCGTGTGCTTCCAGAGGCATCTGGTGGGGCCACTGTGAAATACAGGAAGCTGGACTAGATGGGCCCTTGGCCTGATCCAGCTGGGCTTATGTTCTTGTGTCCTTAACAGTTGAGAAACAGCTTCACCCACATTTACTTCCACCTGGACTTCTAGGACGGGAGGCCAAATGCAAAGCAGTTCTAGGATTCCACCTCGTGATGGTTCATCATAGCAGTTTCACATTTTTAGTCATTAACTGATAAACACTGGTCATCATATGATCCAGGTAGCAAAGGAGATGAATGATTTTCTGTATTGCTAAAGGTCTTGGCTACACAGGGTGTACCTCAAACCATCACTGTTCATCTGTTTTATGCCACCTGTCTCTGGCTATCAAAATAACCTTGGCAGGGCTGGCCTTACCATTAGTTAGCCAGTCACCTCAGGTGGCAGATGCTGCAGACAGCGCAACCATTCTTCCTGAACCTTCCAATCATTCTTGTGTCTTGGAGAGCAGAGTGGTGTACATTACACACCCTATCCTCTAAACCAATCGTTCCCATCTTTGGGTAATGCAGCCATTCTTGGACTGCAATTACCAGAAACCTTCACCACCAACAGGGTCAGGGTTTCCGGGAAGTGCAGTCCAAGATCTCATCCCAATCTCATCCCTAGTTGCCAGCTCTCCCCAGTTTCAGCAGATGAACCTTTTCATTTAAAGGGACAAGAACCTTGTCCTTTTTTAACCTTCTTGTGCCCTGAACCAGCAGCCATCCACACTTGAACCCTCCTGCTTATAGAAACCAACCAGCCAAGAGGCAGAAGGGAACGGAAACATTATGGTTTACTTTATTTGCTTGCTTGCTTTCTAGGGGATTGCTGTACAGTATAATCAAAAGGGACATGGTGGCGCTGCGGGCTAAACCGCAGAAGCCTGTGCTGCAGGGTCAGAAGACCAAGCAGTCGTAAGATCGAATCCACGCAACGGAGTGAGCACCCGTCGCTTGTCTCAGCTCCCGCCAACCTAGCGGTTCGAAAGCATGCAAATGCAAGTAGATAAATAAGGACCACCTCGGTGGGAAGGTAACAGCGTTCCGTGTCTAAGTCACACTGGCCATGTGACCACGGAAGATTGTCTTCGGACAAAACGCTGGCTCTATGGCTTGGAAACGGGGATAAGCACCGCCCCCTAGAGTCGAACACGACTCGACAAAAATTGTCAAGGGGAACCTTTACTTTTACCTTTACCTTTTATAATCAAATGGCAAAACTCTCTGCCTTTTATCATCGAGAGTAGTAGTAGTAGTAGTAGTAGTAGTAGTAGTAGTAGTAGTAGTAGTAATGCAGACTTAATTGAACTCACAATGTTTATCCTTTGCTCCATTTCTGTACTTGCATGAACTCCAGGTTTTTTTTAAAAAAAAACTTCTGAGTTGGCAATCCTTATTCCACCTCCTCCCCACCCTTCTATTTTCTTGAAGGTAATCTTCTCCCTTGGAAACAGATCGGGAGGCCAATGTAAGGTCTCAGCCAACTGCAGGTATGCACCCAGAGCAAGCCCTTTCCCTTCATAGTCTCTCATAGCACCTGCCACCCCCTCACTCTGCCTGGAAATAGGCAGGCTAGTCTTCCTGCCAGCTATATTTTGAGAGGGATCCCGTCTGCGATTAGCATTTCCCACTAAAAGGTTCCCTCTGTTGCTCGAGGGAGGAAATAGCAGGGAGAAGAAAAGAAAGGTGCGGGGTTTTCTCACAGTCCCATTCAGCTCTGGCATGTAGTGGCCAAGGATGACCCATAATGGGCCACTTCAGATTGCAAAGCCCTGACACAGCTGTCTGGCTTGCTGGGTTGTTCGCACCCAGCATGAATAAGGTCTCTTTATTTTACCGTTCAGTGGCTGAGGAAGGCTGCGTCGCAAATGCACAAATGCAGAGGTGGGGTGGAGTGGCACAGCAGCAGAAAGAGCCCAAGAAAAGAAGTTGATTTTTAAATAGGAAACCCCCCCTCCAAAAAACACACACCTCCATTTAAAAAGCTGTTAAATGGAGTGCCTGTTTCTGGGAGAGACCCCTAAGGGCCTGAGGGTGGGACAATACAAGAAAACTGGGAAATTGTTTTTACACCACTATGCATCCTCCCCGCTGTCACGTACAGTTTGTCTTACAGATGTACAAAACAGGGTTCGCCTATTTTGGCTGGTGCAGCCTAAATAGGATCACTTGAGGTCAAGGGTGGTGGTGGTGGTGGGGAGGAGCGCTGGTGCAGCCTAAATAGGATCACTTGAGTTCAGGGGTGGTGGTGGTGGGGAGGAGTGATATGTCATGTGGCAAGATCTCCCCATCCAAATGGCATATTGGCTTCAGAGTTTTTTAAAAATTCAGGAGTGTCCAATTTGCTGCTCTACAATACCAGAAACTGAAAGGAACCTTGACAGCTTTGATGGCTGCAAGATTTGATTTTAGTTCAATTCCCAGTGATTTCACACAGTGGGAACGGACGAAACTAGAATGCACGAACCCACATCAAAAATAAATAGAAGCCCCTGATAAGGGCTCAAAAAGGTAAGGCTGCTCTGGGGGCAAATGGGTCTGTTCCTCTGATTACCTTGTGCGGTCCCTGGGGGGGGGGCAGAAGGGGACCAAATCCACCTTTGCAGTGCACTAAACAGCAGGACAAATGCCCATTCAAATGAGTCCATCATGCAATAGGGTGAGTTGGAAAGAATACATCAGTGGGAGTTCAGTAATCTACCACCTAAATAACAACAGCAAAGATAAAGACCAATATGATCAGGGAATGTGGGGGTGGGAAAGCAAATATACACGTCTCTCCATAAACTGTGAATAATTTATATACAATTATATAAATCGGCACTCAAAGTGAACAAGACCTCCTCTTCCTCCTCCTCCTTAACTTTGAAGAAAGAAAGCTGTTTAGACTAACACCTTACTGAGTTTCCACTAAGAGAAAAAGTCTCACCAGCGCAATAATGCAGGATTACGCCAAGAAGAAGGGCAACTTGTCTTTGTGAAGATTACTGCTTGTGGCAACGCTTATGCAGGCAGCGGGATCCCAAAGCACCATGCTGGTGGGGCTACCTGATCAGCAGAAAGTCAGTAAGATGCTGTTCCCCCAAACAGGGCCATGGTTGCTGATTGAGCTCAATTGTCCTCACAACGCATTGGTGATTCAGTGAAGCTCTAGGGGTGGGGGTGGGGGTGGGGTGGGGAATCACAAAGGACAAGCTATGAAATGTTCCAAA